GGGTGTCAAGCCAAACACGAGAAACGAGGGACGTTTCGTACTCGAAGTGATGAAACGTGCTTCAATCCTCGGTCGCCGGCACTCTTGATCTAACATGATAGAGTATGAGGCATTAGTGTGTTTTGGTGCATTCATTCCATATTGATTTGCACACTTGGCTCCTTGGCCATCATGCATTGGAATGTGTGATTGATGGCCCGAGGGTCGAGTATTACACTCCATTGAACCTTAAACATGATAAGGGGTGTATTTGCAAACACATTCTTGCAAATGTATTGCCATGCCTCTGTTTGTCCTCTGCTGCAGCAATATGAGCAATTTGCAGGAAGAGATGGCCGATCGGCTACAAATGGTTAGCCGATAGCACCAAAAGTAGTCGATGGCCATTTTCCACTGGCTGATTGTAGACACCTCATTTTTGATCGTCCTCAAGACTTGGATGTCATCGTTTGAACGCTCGATGATCATCCATGTTTGTGTTCGTTTTGAGTTCTCGAAGGTCTCGGTTGCACGTCTTGCCTCAAGATCTCTCAACTTGTTTGTTTTGTGCTTGGTTGTGGACCAAGCACTTGTGTTTTTGTTTCTGAAGGAAGAGGGTGGCTTGTTTTCCATTCCCTCAACCCACCGGCCGAGGCTTGAGGCCATCGGCCATGTTTTCTTTCCACCGGCCAAGTGTATTGGCCGATCGGCACCTTTGTTGGTCGGTCGGCCACCTTTGTTGGTCAATCGGCCATTTTGGCTGGCCGAACCCTGTTCATCTGCTTTATGTAGATATTTTATGCTAGCTGGATTAGCTGGCATGCATAATTCACCCCCTCCATACACGTGTATGGAGGGATTTGCTTCTTACTTAGCTTCTCTTAGAAGCTTTGCAAATTGAACCTCTATAAAGAGGGAGCTCTTCCTCCCTCCTCCAGGGTTCAAAAAAATTAGGGTTAGAGAGTGAGAGATAGTTTTGTATCTATACTCCCTTGTTTGATCCTATTTTGTGCTTTAAAGTGAGTTTTTGTCTTACTTTTGCACTTGAACCCCTAGCATTACGCCATCCTTAGATTGCTGAGGCATTAGAGGGTTGTTGTTAGGGTTCTTGAGTTGATTTTGATCAGAGAAACCTGCTGGAGCTTTGTTCTTGAAGAGTTTCTACAAGGGTGAGTTCCTTGCTTTAGATACCCCATTTTGGCTTAGGCTTTTAGCCCTTCTTGCTTATTGTTTTAAGCTTCAACTATAACTGATAAAAGTTCTAATTTTGTGTTCTTTAGAACTTTATTTAGGGTCACTTTGAGGTTTGGGGTTGTTTCCCCCCTCCAAGGCCTTGTTAGGACTTTGTTTAGGCCACCTCTTTTGGCCCTTGTTCTTAGCTTCGCATGACCTCTCTACCACTAAAATCCAGAGGATTTTCAGTGGTGGAGAGGTGGTTTTGAGGTCCTAAACGGGAGAGGGTCATCCCCTCTCCATGTTGTCTTTAATGCTTGCATAAATGACTTATGTTATAGCATGTTTGCCTAGCTTGTCTTCGCTTTATTTCAGTATATATTAGGCTTTGCTTTGCCATGATATAGCACTATTTTGACTTGGTTTAGACATACCATGCATGCTTTGTATACTTGTCTTGTAATCCCATGATTTGCCTTAACATGCACCATGTTGTAACATGTCTTTTTAGCATGATTTTGGCTCAACTTCATGAAGCTTCTAGCCTTGTTTTAACATGCTTGAGCTCTGTTTTCCATTGTTTTGGTCATGTTTACATTGTTTTGTATAGCTACCATGCAATCTAGCTTGTTAGCTTTGGTTGTTGGAGTCACTAGCATGCTCTATTCGGATCATTTCAGTGGTTTGGCATCACTTGTAATATTATTTCAGTCCATATAGTATGCTCATGTACTTGCATTTGTCACTCCTTTAATGTTTTAAAGGGTTTGTGTTTTATGCCTCATGAATGTGTCATCGTGTATGACACCATGCTTAGGTCTTTGGGATGCCATCTAGGTGAGTTTTTGGGCTTACTTTGACATGCCATAACTCTGTTTTTCATTGCTTAAATCATGCCATGTTTGGTTTTGATAGGTGTAGTGTAACACGATAGGTATAGTGTAACGCCTCTTTTATGGCTTTGCATGCCTCATGTTTTGGGAGTTGTGTTCTAGCATGTTTTGGCCTCATTCCTCGCATGTTTTAGGCTCATTTGGACCTGCCTTAGGACTGTTTTAGGTCCTATTGGCCCTTTGGGGCTTGCTTTGTATAGCCATGGTTTGAACCTTTCGGCTAGCTCCAAGTTTTAGGCTTTATTGCATGCCTTGCTTGGTTTGTTTATGTGATTTGGCATCATGCTTAGCATCATTTCAGATCTTGTAGTATTGTCATACTTGCATACTTTGTCTCCTTTTAAGTGTTCTTGAAAGTTGTCTTCTTTTTATGCCTAAGTGTTGAACCTTTACATGTGCATGTTTGGGTGTGTTTTGTCCATCATTTCCTGGCACTTTGGCCACTGATTTGGACCTATTTGAGAGTTGTCCACATTGGTTTAAGTCCATCCTTTGCATGTTGTCGCATGCTTGCCTCGTATGTTGTTACATACTTGGCCTTTTAACATGTTGTTGCATGTTTAAGTGGTATTGCATTTGGCATGCTTTGTTAAGTAGCTTTGCATGTTTGCATATCTTGTCCCTTTACATGTTGTTACATGTTTGCCTTGCATGCTTGAATGTCCATGTTGCATTTTGCATGCTTGCCTAGGTTGCATTACATTTGGCATGCTTGTTACCATTACCCTTGTATGGCATTATCATTAACATGCTCATGTTGCATTAGTCTTGCTTGCATGAATGCATCCCTTGCCTCTTGATCAATCATGATAGAGGTTTGCAGACCTATTATATGTTATGTGCATTTCATTTGGTATTGAATTGCACATTCGGCACCTTTGGCCATCATGCATTGAAATGCGTGATTAATGGCCCGAGGGTCGAGAACCATACACTCCTTTGATTCTCAAACATGATAAGAAGGGTGGTTGTGCACACATTGCTTTGAAAATGTGTTGTCATGCTCTGTTTGCCCTCTGCTGCAACAAAACAGGATTCTGCAGGAAGAGATGGTCGGTCGGCTATCTTCAGTGCCGACCGACCATGAATTGTTGGCTGAGAGCCATACTTTTGGTCGATGACCAGCTTCCCATAGCCGGTGGTTTTTCCCTTTGGTCGATGACCTCCCTAAATGGTCAGAAGGTGGTTCAGAAGCATCTTAGGGACTTGTGAAGTCTTCAGAGGTGCAGAGCAGTGCAGACAAAGGCAATATGTGGCATGGCAATGGATTTCCGAGCGGAGCTAAGCATGCATGCATTCGACCCTCTTCCTGAGGCTGTTTTTATGGTCTTCTTAGCTTAATTGATTTTCTTAGTTAGTTAAGTGTTGTGTAATAATTAATTAGCTTGCTAGTTAGTTAATTATGTAAGTTGTATTATTCTTTCGGTCCCTCCCTTGAGAGGGCGAACTTTGTAATAAGTGTGCGTGCGTGTGTGCATGTCTTCCAACCCCCATTTCTTTTTCCCTTTTACTTAACCGCTTACAATGATTAGTTCTAGGGCACGTTTCAATTAGCATCCTGTAGACGTCCTCGAACGCCCCGGGAGGATGGGTCCCGTTCTGTTCATATTGGGTTCACTATAGTTCGGACTCTCAAATTGCCACGGTTCTAAATCTGAACCAAAGAGTCCAAATCCGACAAATTGTTTTAAGAAAAACAGATTTTGAAAGAAGTGCCAAACATGGACTGCTTTTCCAGATACAGAGTCGCCACCTAAATATTTTTTATGGGGGAATTTAGGAAACCCTAACTCGGTGCCAAAGGCCACGTGTCTGTCATCACCAAAGTTGCCTCGGCTCGGGAGCTTGGGTACGATTGGGGAAGGTCAGCTATGAGCACCCCTTCTCGCCCGATCTGAAGATCGGCCTTTACTAACCGTGATATCTGTTTTTGAAAACGTTATGTGTTCTTATTCCGGTTATTAGCCTAGATTTACTATGTTATGCGCACAACAAACAAGTGTAGACCAAATCGCCTAAATTGGAACAAAACATTGCATGTTTGTTTTGAAAATGGTTTGCTACTTGCAAGTAGGCTAAAATATTAACAAAAATTATAATTTTTTTCCTATTAATTGATGTTACATGTAATAATAAAATTAAAAAAAAATAAATATTAACTATTTCAATAATATCATTAGTGACTTGACTTCATCTGTTACTCCCAACTTGATCTATCTCTTCACTCATTCTACAAAGCCCTCTAAATTTAATTAACGTGAATTACACTATCGGTCCTTATAGTTTAGGGTTTGTATTATTTTAATTATTAACTTTTTAATTGTGACACATTTGATCATAAATTTTAAATCTTATTTCAAATAAATACAATTAAAGATACCATTAAATTTTTTAAAAAGAAAATCGTCAATTTAATAAAATATAAACTAATTTGATAAAAATAAATGTCAAAAAATATTTTTAAAATTTTAAAAATTATTTCTACCCACTAAAGATAAAATTATGTTAAATTGATAAATTTTTTAGACATTTATTTATTTTTACCAAATTAATTTTTATTATGTGTTTTGATGATCATCATGTAAAATTAATTTTTAAAAATTAATCATATAATTTTTATCAATTTTACATAATTTTATCTTTAGTGAGTAAAAATAATTTTTAAAAATTTAAAAATATTTTTTTGATATTTAGTTTTGTCCAATTAATTTATATTTTATCAAATTGACAATTTTACCCTTAAAATTAAGCAATAATTTTTTCAATTGTCCTTATTTGAAACAAGATTCAAAATTCAAAGTTAAATATGTCACAATTGAAAAATCAAAAATCAAAATGACACAAGCCCCAAACTATAAGACTGCTAGTGTAATTTGCCATTTAATCAACCATTGACACCAAACTTCAAGAAAGAATATTTCACATAATGTCACATTTCACAAAGAGTCGTATATAATGCTTCTAGGCAACATTATTGAACCAAAAAGTAACAGAGCACACTGTTGTAACACAATATCAATAATCCTAGCAACATAGAAATTAGAATAACACATAATCCTCTCACAAAGGGTGGGTCACACATGTAAGCCCCACCCCTCATGATTAGGCAATATCCCATTTTGTGTTTAGTTTTTGTACATATAGAGGTAATCAACACACCATGGGCCAACCAAGAAAAATTGCCAAAAAAAAAAATTCAGAAAATAAATTATGAAAACAAAACCAATTAGAGAATTTCAACAACTAGTTTGGGCATAATGAATAACATTCTCTTTCCAGCTCAGTAATGTTGCGCTTTCCGGTAAATCAATTGACCATATGTAGAGGTTATGAGTACAATTTGAGTGTCCCCTTTTTGCCAAAAAATTATTCACTGCCACAGACTGCACAGCCACAAAACACATCCGAGCCATTGGTGTAGCCACGTCAGTGCAGTGTGTGCCAGTGAACATTGCTCCCTTTTCGCTGATTAATCATTAGAATGTTTTCGACATCAAGAAATTAGTCCTGGACAATAATACCTCTCATCTGCATACAAAGAAATGACCATATCAGTCATGCGAGTAATTAAGAAACAATCTCAAATGAAAGTCAGCAATACACTTGGTAATCATTCTCCTTTATGAATCATCAAAGTGACATTCGTGAACTAATTTAACTGTCCAAAATGTCATACACCCACCAATATACATTTTGTATGATTCTGTGACCGATTTGTCTTCCTAGAGTAATTACATAGAGAGAGAAAGAATGCAAACAGGGACCAAATGCAAACAAAGAGACTTGAATCCAAGATCTCCCCTAATTTGAAGTCCGATACCATGTTAAGTCACTAATTGTCCAAAAGCTTAAGCTATTAGGAAATGGATCCAACAATATATATCAAGCTAATCAACACAAAAAACCTATGGTTCGCTTCTCTTTGGATGGGCCACCAAAATTTTAATCATCAAACTTGTGCATTCCTAGAAGTTTGTTGCATGAAACTTGTTCCAACATTTTATGAACATGTACACTGTTTAACAATGGTTTGTCAGTGGACTCGATTTAGAGCCTCTAGACCAGAATGTCCAAGATCTATTGTGAATTATGCCTATAGAATCAAGTGAACACAACTGCATAATCTCAAATTCATGAAAGGTGTTCATCAAATTTGACGTTCAAGTCTAGTGACCTCCACACAATTGAGGTGGAATGTTCTAAACTTCATAAATATAATTTAATTTTTTAAAATTTACAACAATCGGCATTCAACACACTGTAGAGCTCAGATGGAGTTTAAATTTTGCGATCACCACTATTAAAAAGCTGAAAGGTTTCATGCACTGAGCTAATAGTTTGAATTACCGGTAAATAATAGCCAAAATTTCTCATCTTCCCCGATTTATGTGATCTAGATCCTCATTTCATGCAGCCTAGCATCATCCGTAGGTCCTACAGGAAGATTTTCTATTGATTGTTGTTGTCGGTTTTGCTGTTGCTGCCGCAGCACCTGTTGCTCTTGCTGATTTTGGTGTGGCTGCTGCTGCTGCTGTGGCGGCTGAGCACCACCATTAAAATGCTGATGTGAAAAGTTAGGGTTTCGGCTTGATCTCCATCTCAGGTACTCGACAATAAGTGAATTTGTGCTGATTGCAATCCCGAACCCAGTGAATGAGGAAAGGAGCACCGAGAGAATTGGATTTACATTGAGCTGCACATTTAGACAAGCACATAACAAGCATAAATTTCCACTCCAACATTTAGAATGTGTTTGGATCAAGTATTTGAGTGGGATTTGTGGAGGATAAGGAAAAGTGCACAAAATTTAAATAATATTTTCTTTAGTTTTTCTTTCCCTCCACAAATCCCTCTTCAAATCCTTGATCATTCAAACTAGGGCTGCAAATGAATCAAGTTGCTTGCGAGCTCAGCTCGGCTCGGTTTGTTACATATATAAATGAGCCCGATCTAGATTTTTAGGCTTATTTAATAAACGAGCTGAGCTCGAGCTAGAATAAGCTCGGATCGTAAAGCTCGACTTGTTTATTATTTATTTAAATAATAGGATAAACATATTATTTATATATTAAATAATACAAAAATGTGTTATAACTTATATATGCATATTTGACATAGAATAATATTTAACGAGCTGACCAAGCTTGATTATCAAGCTGTGAGCCGAGCTCGAGCATGATTAGTATAAACGAGACGAGTTAAGCTCGAGTTGGATTAATTTTTGAGCCAAGCTTGAGCCCTACAAAGTTCGGTTCAGCTCGACTCATTTGCAGTCCTACTCCAAACACAGCCTTAAAGTGCTAAACAAAATTATCAGAATCATGTAGGATGAGCATTGTGAAAAAGACAGTGGGCTGCTTACTAAAGTATAAAAGATATGAGCGAAGAGGATCACGATTGCATACTGGAATGTAGCATAAGCCCACATATAACTCTTGCTCACTGCTGCCATCAGATGTTGTTAGGTCTACTTGCTGCATTGTCTCAAGTTATAACAAAATGTTTTATATATACATAGCAGCTCCAATTAACAAGATACTGGCCATGGCAAGATTTATTTTTCTACCTTACAATGATGTTGTACTCCTGTGATCAATTCTGCATCACCTCAGGACCCTAGGGAACTCACCATTACTCATTCTTATACTGGCTGTTCCTATAACTATGAAGTACTACGAAAAAAGTTTTTGAGTGATGCTTTAATCAAAAGGATTAAGGATGGAGGGGGTTCTTGTCATTGGGCCATCCCCAAGCATTAGTTCTACCCACCCACCACACACATACACAGTAATCTCTGATGATAAAGAGAAGGTTGTTAGACGTAACAAACAATAGAGAGGAAACGAGGATGGAGGAAGAATGTGAAACAAAAAAGAACATAATATCACTAAAAGTTCAGGTGGTGAGGATGGGAGATGACGGTGGTTCGTGTGGGTGAAAAAGTGACAGAGAAGGAAGAGAAATGAATACTGAAATAAAAATATTACATATAGGAAACACAATTGAGAAATTTTGAACAAAAGTGAGGGTAGTTTGGGGGGAGAAAAAGCAGGGCCAGCAGAGCAGGTCTGCCTTAAACTGAACCCTTACTAAACCCTGGTTGGTTTTTACTCCCTCTCACAAACCCATCATAATGTGGATACTAACTTCCCCAAATTCACCCTAGTAGGTACGGGCAGGCTACCCAAAACATTGGGTACATCCTACAGCTTCGAAGAACAATTGAAGCAGCCATGAAATAATGCTTCAAATAGTATTCAGCGAAGTTCCATTGTCTCTCCAGAAGCAGTTCTTAAGTTGAAGACAACTTCAATGAAGTTATTAGAAAAATATATTTATAAAGAAAGTGTTGCACTTTAACGGAGTGACTGTCAGCTCATTTCACCAAATAAACCAATAAAATATAGGACGTAGGATTCATGTTTGCTTAATAACTAACCTTTCTTCTTCTTCTTCTTCTTCTTCTTCTTTTTTTTTGATAATATGTTTGCTTAGTAACTAACAGTCTAACACCACAAGTAATACAACAATACGAGTATATGAAAGAATTAACTAAATCTTACCCATGGTAGAAGTTATCAGTGATGAAACAAGACCCAAAATACAGGAGAAAGGTAAAGAAAGAGCAAGAGCTCGAGGACCAAGATCAGACACCTGCTCGAATTAATATGCCAATCTCAAATCAGAATTTCTGGAACATCATGAGAGAAGGACTGAAAAAGACCATATAAATGATGAGATGAAAAGATGATACGATGCACACAGATTGACCAAATTAAAAAGCATGCAAATCATTACCGTGTGTGGGAACTAAAACAAAACGGAACTTTTTTTCCTAGAGGACTCATTATTACTAGGTTATCATCGAAAAGAGTTTAACAAGATTGTTTTTCATTACAATAAAAGGCAATTAAGTTTATAGGAAATACTATAATATCCATCACCGTATATAAAATAGATGGGCCAAGCCCAAGCTTGTTATACAGTCTTCCCTTAATCAGTGGATGGCATAAGATTGAATTTTGAAGACATAGATACCAACACCACCTTGTTCCTCTATCTCTCGATACCTCCCTCGATTCACCACATGTCACTGGCACATAAGTAATGACGTGTATTTCATACATCATCACAATTCACCTTGTGTCTCGAACATGTATGATTACCATGTGTCACAGACATGAATAATCTCCCACATGTCCAGTACACACCAAACGTCTCCCATGATATCAAAAGCACTTTATGTGTGCTTTGGTTCACAGAAGTAAAGCATCTCCATCACTAAACAGGCTTGACAATGACCAATAGGACTTCGTGTGTGCTTCAGTCTGGAAGCTGAGTAGGGATTTTTTGACAACCTGTGTAGGTCATCTGCAGAAGGCAGGTGTCTAAGCATTTAATCTCCTATCTCCTACACTTGGTCTCCAATGCACCCAGCACAGGTGATTGAATCTCCTCTCTCCTAAACATTTGTTTCCAATATTTTGTATCTCCAACCTAGGCCACGAGACAGGGCCTATGCATCACAAGTGATGCAGCACTATGCTGAACAACTCAGTGTGCAAACTGTGGAACACTGGGGTCATGGGACTCAGCGACTAGAAATGGAAGTTATGCCGCAGGTAAGTTGCCTTGGGCCAGTCGAGTCCAACTGAGGGAGATTTCCCATTTGGCATAAACTGCAGCACTCAAACCATGCCATTCAGTGGCGTGGCTGTGGCACTCAAGTGAACATCTCCTAAGACCTTTCAGATGATCAGTTCCTGGAAAATAATTAATGTGCTGGACCCACTCTCCTAAATAACAATGGGATTTACGGATGTATCAGTACTCTTCTGTAAATAAGAAGGATTATCTCCATTCTCTAACAAGCTAAGCTTAGCTTAGCAACACAGAGCAAGCTGAGAACTGTCTCTCTCTCTCTCTCTCTCTCTGTGCTTCATTTTTCACCCAGTTGCTCCTTCACTCTCTGGTCTCATTAACTTGCTTTGCCACTCATCTACAAGCCTCCATATCAGTGCACTCCCATGCCACCGACCAACAATTACCATTTTATTCTTGATTTGGATTTGATCTTCTAAGCGATAGACAGCCTTAAGCCCAAAACCAACCTTACATTCCAAGTGGTACAAACACTTTATGTGAAGTTCCAAGAGAATCAGATGCAATGAACAAAACCCTTGCTTGGGTATGACCTTCCAAGCATTGGACAGCCTTGTGACCAGAATCAACTTATCAAATGAAATATATATCAAAAGGCATGTTATATTCATACTCAATTCCAGTAGGTGCAGACTAGTGCAATGAACAAAACTCTACCACATGTTGGGCAATTCATAGTGACAAGCAAAATGTAACTTGAAATATTGACAAATATGAATGAAAGATAATACCAGAAGTTGCTCCAGAAAGCAAAAATATGCAAGCATGCTGACCATAACAAGAACAGGTACATCTTGCCAGATCCTGTCAAGAATGAAAAAAAAAAGAAGAAAAAGAAGTAAAACACCTATGTGAACTCCCCAGATCAATTCACGTGAAGCCCATGTTATAAAGCTATTTAGCTATAAAATGATCATGGATACATTACAAAACCAGAACTGCTAACAGAACAGATTCAAGTAAGCTTCTGTTTCCAGGTAGGCAAACACTAATCCTCAAGTCATATTTGACGATGGTAGCTTCATGTTAGTATCACGGTCTACTACTAGATAGCATGTACATAACAGCTTTTTATAAATCTGACAAAAATAAGAGAATAACCTTTGGAGCTTTTAAGTAGGTAACCACTGGACTGAATATAACTTGTGATAGCCACTTTCACATGGATATTTTCCTTTGTTAGTTAGTAGCAGAAGAAAAAACATTTTTTTTTTTTGAAGTAATTTATTCTCCTACAATCCTATTTTCAGGTTCATCTACAAATCAAGGAATGAAAGATTCTTAAAGGATTTCCATAAAACTCCACACAACGGCAGTCAATTTGCAGGCACTTAGCATTGTAGCACGCTATAACCCATTTAAAGGACTGAGAATAGGATCCACTTTTCAGTAACTAAAGTATGATGCACTCCAGTCAGAATTCTTCAAGGGCTGTTGTGACTTATATCCTTTCCCTTTCCCCTTCATAGAAAGAAATCCCTTCCCTTCCTTTACCAATAAATTGGTATCAGAACAGATTGGTAGATTGTGAAGGTAAACGTTGAGAAGGATGCTACGCATTTGTTAATTAAATCCTACAGTCCATCGAACTTGCCTGTAACGAGTGACTTCCCTCTGTTGCGCAACAGCTGGTGGTTGTCTTATTACAACAGTCCGAGGATTTTGTATTTTCAATAACGCTACTGGAAGGTTTTGAACATCCTGCTTGCAGACATCACAGATCTTGTTACCTTTAATGCTAAACCACTTCACAGCACACTCTTGGTGAGCAAGTGCAAGCTCTCCTTTGCAGCTGCACTCCATCTTTAGAACTTCACCACCTTCACCAAGTTCAACCAAACAAATTCTACAAACAGCTTCCTCTTCGGGAATATCTTCCCCAGCACGATCACTGGCTGTAATGAAACCAGTAATTGACAAGATAACGAATAAGTATAAAAAAGTGAAAAATATTTAGGAAAGGACAACAAAACAATTTGGCTAACTAATAAGGGCTTTTATGCCATTAATTTAAGCTCAAGAAACTTGTCACAAATACAAGGGAATTTCTCAAATGACATTCATCAATAAAGGTAGAAATCATATTTCTTGGATTTCAAATTTTATAAACAAGGAAACACATGTATACCGATTTCCGTTTCTCTGGATTCACTTGGAGAGGCACCAACAACTGTTACAGGACGAGGTGTCACTGATATTACACGGATCAAACCACCAGTAGAATCCGTCCGCCTCAAGCTTCTGGCTTTGATATTTACTGGAACTGAAAATGAACGCCTCATATGATGTTGACTTTCTGGTTTCTGTACAACAACAAATTTTACTTTTATTTTATTTTTTGATCGGCAACAAAAGAAATTTATTAGAAAATAAGAAAAGTACAATAGAAATGGGAGAACAAGGAGTCCTCCAAAGAAAAAGAAAAAGAAAAAAAGAAAAAAGCAAAAGGACAACCAAAATCTCACACTGCCCTCAATCTCTTGAGATAAAAAAATTAAAAATAAACAAAGCAATAAATAAGTGGAATTCCTATAAAGGGAGTGGAAACAGAAACCCAAAAAGATGTCAAGTAACAGACTTCATCCGATAAAGAGCCCTCCTCAATAAATCCTCAAAGATCCTAGCATTATGTTTGGACCAATTAACCTAATAAATTGCATAAAAAAACACAATCCCACAAGAATAATGAAATATAGAGAGAGCAGGGAATGAACGAACAAAAGGTACTTACAGAGAATTCAGAATGGTCATCCAGATTCCTTTCATTTGCAGACTTGATAGACGAATTTGAAACTGGTGTCACTGGTAAAGAATGGGGTGATTTGGTTGATGAAGAGAAAAAGACCTTGTTGAGAGAAAATGTCCTTGAGAATGAAGTAGAGGGCCTATCCGATGGAGGTGTTTCTGGGATGATGAGAACTGTCTTCTCACCATCCTGAGACAAGTTTTTACCCCTGAAGCTTCTCTGAGGAAGTAGATTTCTCATGGACGATTTGAACTTGACTGAACTCGGCCTAGGGGGAAGTCCTGATCTGGTAGAACTAGGACTTGGCACCTGAGGAGTATCAATGCTTGTGAAATTGGACAATGTGCTTTCCATGGACCTTGTAGGTATTTGCAGAGAGGAGAGGCTCGGCCTTCTCGATTGTTGCTGCACTAAAGATGATTCTTCTTCTTCACACTCTTCTTTCTGATTATTACATGCTTACGACCCATTAAAATCCAAAACCCACATTTGTTTTATATGTGAAATATAACTCCGCCCATTGATGATGCATGGACAAACAAATGAATATTAGAGAACAATATATATATATATATAATATATTTTCAAAAGTTGCTTACAGAAATTAAAAACTTGCAAGTATGAATATGATCAAAACTTTCAGAGGTGAACAATAAACGTTACAAAATTACTCTGATTTCTAAAAATTTGATTTGTCAATGAAGCTGAAGAATCATGTAAAACAAACAATTTTCCTCCATGCCAAATAGACAAATAGGTCTTAGCATTACAAAAACTAACATATGAACATGAGAGAACATTGATGTGTTATTATTTTTATTTTTTTATACATAAATTAAAACCCCGCAAGCATGAATGTGATCATAACTTTCAGAGGCGAACAATAAACATTACAAAATTACTCCGATTTCTAAAAGTTAGATTCGCCAATGTAGCTGAAGAATCGTGCAAAACACAAACAATTTCCCTCCAAGCCAAGGAGAAAAAATAGACAATAGGCAGCATTTCTCTTGATAATTCAATACAAAACAAATAACCCTCCAAACAATTTTTCAGAAAGTCAAATTTTGCAGCAATAATAAAGTCAATGGATGTTTCATAGACTTGGTGGGTCCTACAAATTTTTGCTTCAAGTCAATTTCACTTGCAACCAACAACGTAAATGGAATTAATTTTCAACATTTATACAATTACAAAAATAAAAATAAAAGCACAAAACTCAGAACAAGCTTTATCGGGACTTTTATATACCAAAAATACCCATTGTTCATATGATTATGATATCTTAACTGTTTCAAATAATTACCACATAATCATTTTAAATTTCACATATTTATACTATTATAACCCACAAAAAAATACCCCAAATTTTAACTGCTTCACATAATTGCCATAATTATTTTAAATTTCACATAGGGTGTGCCCTGTATATATATATGAAAAGATCACCTGAATCATCTTGTTTACTTACAACAACAACATAAATGGAATTAATTTTCAATATATATCTTCTATATAATATATATATATATATATATATACACAGAAATAGAAAGAGTGGAAAATATGAAAAGATCACCTGATGATGATAATGTTGAGGCGAATCATCATGTTCTTGAGCTTGAATAGTCTCCTCCATTATATAAATTACAACAACAACAGTAATCGATAAAGCAGTAACAACAGTAGAGAAGAAGAACCCTAATCTCAGTAGCGAAAGATAGAGCAATGACTGAGCTGTAATTGTATGTTTAGTTCAGTTTTCTACACAGAACAGAACCCTCTTCGAATCTCTCAGCATAAACTAATAATAAATTTGGGGTTGAATTTGAAAACAAAACAGTGAGTCGATCAAACCTAAATTGTAAAAGTTTGATAAAAGTGGGGAAAAAAAAGAACAAAAGGAACCTTTTTTTTTTTTTTTTTTTTTTGGCTCCCTCCGATTCGAACAAAATAACATTCTGCCATCGGAGAAATGGCATTTGATGGAAACAATGCATACCATTTTTTTATTTAAAAAAAAGGTGCTTCTTTTTTTTTCTTTTTTTTTTTTCTTTTGGGATAAGTTATCAATGGGTCCTAATAGTTGGACTTAATTTTCATCAAGTCCTATTGAAATTAGGTCTTGGTAAAATTGTAACTAAAAATAAATTTTTTTGTGACAATTTTTTATATATAATTGATAATTAGTAATTTTTTTTTTGTCATGATTTTTGTAAATTGTCGTTAAAATTTACAATAGTGACTTTTTTTATGACAATTTTTTTTCATAAAACTTATTAGACAATAAGTTCACTTGTTAGAAACTACCCGTTGTAAGGGGGTTCAAGATTAGAGAGATGACTAGAGAGACAAAACTATGTTAATGGTCCAATAATAGTGGGAGTGGCTAGAGAATGAGTAGCAGTAACTATCTGGGAGTTAGAGAGTGTGTGAGGGTGAAGCAAGTAGCTCAAGAAGAAGACAATAGCAGTGCCAAAATGGGCAGCATCTCTCCTAAATTTTCAAAAAAAAAATTCTTGAACCTTGGGGAAATGGGTCCTATTTATAGGTTTTTCCTTGGTACTAAGAGGACACCAAGTGGCTAAATAAAGAGAAAACATGTGTCCTAGAGGACCACATGAAATATTCTGCCTTGAGCCACCAGGCTGAAGGTACCATGTGTCCTTCTGCATGTACTATGTACTATCTGTTTGGCGCTGCAACTTCCTTTCGAGCCTCAGCAAGTGCAGTTGCAGCAGGAGTGTTTGCTTCTGCACCTGCCTTCTCAGTTTGAACCTCAGCAAGTGCACTTATAACAGTAGACCTTGCCACTGCACTTGCCTTCTCAGTTCTATTTGGCCAGTACATGCATTCTCGGGACTCCATTAGTCTACTATCAACTATGTTCGTACTCACCTCAGCGAAGCCTCCACCCTTAGTCACCTAACCACAAACTTTCCAACTTCTCAGGGAGAAGGCCACAACCAAGCCTGCTATCAGCCATGCTATGCCTTAGTACCAAGCCCAATGGAGCTTTCTTAGTCTTGCCTGTGCGACTAAGGCAGGTCCACGACCTGGGTAATGAAAAGGGAGTCCCTTATACTCGGGCTACCCTGCTCCCATCTTCGCAGGGTTACCGCGGTGAACTGGTATTTCTGGGCCTGCTATCAGCTTTAACTAGTAAATCTCCGGGCCTGCTATCAGCGCCCAAGTTAAATGAACTGTGGGGCCTGCTATCAGCGCCTAGCATTAGCCTCTACTTGCAGAGGGAAGCCTCTCTTAAAGGCTGCTATCACTTTGGCAGGATATTCCCTCTGCAACTTAGTTGCTGCGGTAGTCATTTTCCGCGGCAAGTTCAGACGGCATGACCGAAGATATTAGAGATGGCAGCACCGACAGAATGCCTTCGCAATTTGGGCGCTGCAAGTATTGCCTCTGCAACTTAGTTGCCTCAGTCTTCTCTTTCCCTCAGTAAGGTAATCGTGACACTGACATTACTTAGAATGGCGGCGGCACCGAAAATACTTAGAACGGCGACGTTGAGACAAAGTGCCTTAGCAACTCTGTCGCTACATATGTTCCTTCGGCAACTTCAGATGGCGGCGAAACCGAAGTTAATAGGAATGGCGGCGCTGAGGCAAAGTACCTCAGCAACTCTACCGCTGCACATGTTTTCTCCGTAACTTCATCGCTGCAGGCTTTGCCTCTACAACTTGACTTGGGCATTTTTCCTCGTTTAGTCCATTTGGAGCCCTAGTGGGTTGCACCTGCCTCGGCCAACTTGTTGGCCCACTTCCCTTGGGCTTTTACCTATGCTCCTTTTTTATGCCTGGTCGCCTCCTCAAGGCGATCTTAGTGCTTGCATCCATACTTAATTTGGGGCTTAATTTCTGACCCTCTACATTTTGCCCCCTATGCGCGTGGGAGATACGCTCCCTATTTCCCGCGCATGCATGACGTCAGCGAGCAACCCAGGGTTGCGTTGGTTGGGTCAGAAGTTGCGTCGGTTCTGAAAAGGTACCCTTTTGACTGCCAGGTCATAATGACCAAGGCCAGCATGCTAACGCCCTTTGCTGATTTTTTTTTATAAATAATGTCCTTGGGTCCACTAGTCTCCCACTTCTTCCTAACACACCTTTTTGTCTCCTTTGTCTTCTTATCTCCTTTGTTCCCACTTTCCAAAGCTTTCCTGTCTTTTCTTTATTCCTTTTCATGGCCAACACGAGGTTTCTTCCTAATAGGGCTGCCCCACCCCCCACTGAGTGGAGGCGGGTCCCCTACTTCGGAGGGCTGGTTGATCCCTTCTGGAAGGCGGTTGACTCCTTTATTCCTGACGCCCCTCTTCTAGAGGAGCCCCTGCTTCCTTTTGGGGAGGCCACTTTGGAAGACGCGGACATGGTGAACCCGATTTCTGTGCTGCAGTTTCGTGTGGAGCGTAGCGACTTTCCACATTCTTACATTTACTATCGCACTCATTCGGGGCCTCCAGCAGATTGGTCCCTTTAGGTTGATGACGTCATTGCAGATGGAGGCTTCAAGTAGCGTCTGCGTGATGTCCGCCTTTTCAATGCCATTTTAATCTCGAGGGAGTTATCAGTGCGTAAGGTGTAGACTAACACTGATATGATTGTCTCCTGTTGGAGTCGTGACACCCACACTTTCGTCTTGGCATGGAGGGAGATAACCCTAACCCTGGAAGATGTTACCGTCCTCTTATGCCTCAGCACCCGTAGAGATCACCCCTTTGAACCAGCATCTCTGACCCCTGCAGAACAAGTCACTGTCATTGCTCTTCAAACCACCTTTTGGAAGGCACGAAAGTTTGGTTCCTGGTATAATCTTAGAACCGGGGAACTGCTCCAAGAGAGGCCTAAAAGAAATAAGACTACCTATCTTTCTTGGTTGAAGTATTTCTTTAAGGACTTGCAACCAGTTGTAGGGGACATCACTGAGGAGAGCCGTGACTCCGTAATTGGTCCGGGCTACCGAGGCGACTTGTACTTGGCCGCGTTCGTCAGTTATTTCATCTCATTCTTTGTCTTACCTAGTAACCCTGCCGAAAGCATCAATCCCTTGGTATTTCCCTTAGTTGTAAGGCTTTGCAGCAGTAATCAAATTTTTTTGGCTCCCCTCTTCCTGGATAACTTATATTTTCGTCTTGACCTTATCCATTTGGACATGGAACGGTCCATGGGTCGCTATGACGTGTAGAGCTTTGTGCATACCCAATTCCTTACTGCCTTTTTCTATGAGAGATTTCCTGCCATGGGCCCTATCCCTAAGGAACACGAGCCCTTCTTTACTGATGAAATCTTTGATGCAGAGGGCCACCCTATTCTAGATGCAAAGGGTCAGCTTGTCACGAGACAAGTGCGTCAATCCCTCTCTTGCATCTCTCGATGGCCTGGCCTTGGCCCTCTCTTGCATCTCTCGATGGCCTGGCCTTGGCACCAATAGGCCCTTTTCAGACTATGTTGACCGTATAGAGGAGTGCGTGTTCCGTCCTTTCACTCAGCCTCTCCCAGGCATTTTTGTTGTCCCATTTTATTTTTTAGAGGCCCGTCACATTGATTTTTCTCTCGACAGTGTCCAGGCTAATTCTTTCCTTATTGTTGCCATGATTCGTCCCAAATTTTTGCCTGTATGGAATGAAGAAGGCATGTCCAGTGTCGCTTATCGGCCAGACAGAGTCCTCATGCAATTCAGGATAGATCAAGGCATCTCATATGCTCCCCTGCCTCAGACTGATTTCCACCGGAGTTTTCAACGATTTACCCGTGACTATACAGCTCTACTTGTAGAGGGCTTAAGAGTCATGGAGCTTCCTTCGCTTGGGAGAGAGGGTGCCTGTACTCTTGATAATAGGTTGTTCTAGCACCGCAATCTCAATTATTTCTTTAATTTTTGTAATAGTGCTCCGGTTGTCCCTGCAATAGAACATATCCCGCAGCCCAACTTATCCCTTCGTTTAGCTTTTGGCCAAGGGAAACAATCCAGCATATTCTGTCGCTTTAAGCTTCTATCCTTGCCCGTTGTGGAGGAGCCTCACCCATCTAGGGCAATGTCTGTTCAACCCTTGCAGATTGCTCCCCCTGAAGTGAGTGCAACAGTATACATGACCCGTTCCAGGTTGAGGGCAGCCCAAGCAGCAGCGACATCAGTTCCTGAGGCACATGCCTCACCCCGTAGGAGGAGCCTCCGAAAGGTATCCATACTTAGAAAATATTTTGTATTATTTCCTTATACTTATTATGTTTACTGTAATAACCGCATGATCTTCGTCTTTTTTTAAGGACCACGAACCATGCTGCCCTCTGGCCCAGGGGGTTCTTTTACTGCTATTGGCATTTCTTCAGACTCAGACGACGATGACAACCTCCCCATTGCTACTAGGGTGACAACATTAAAGACTTGCAGGACAGTTCTTTCAGACTTTGAAGAGGAACCAAGTGTGAGAGGTGAACTGACCTCTGAGGCCGAGCCAATTGCCGAGGCTGAGCCAGTTGTGGAGGCCGTAGGCAATGTGCAAGTTTCCCCTGCTGTGGAAGTTGCAGCGGGTGATATAGCTGCTGAGGGTTTAGAGCCTCCGCATCCTTCTGACTCTGTGCACTCCGGTTGTTTCTCTATTGGCGGAGATGATTTCGTACCTAAGACCCCTAGAGAAGATTGCGGCATGAGAGAGTCGCTAGAAGTTGCACCACCTCCCTTTGGAGCTGCATCTGGCAGTTCCTCCCAATCTACTGAGTCTCCGTTAATTCAGTAGGCTCCACTTTTAAACATTCAAATGGCTGAGGAGAGTGCACGTGTAGCGGCTGCTGCCACTGTTCCTGCTGTGACCTCTCTGAATTTGGACTGACTTGCAGAGGTAGCTATCACCTTAGCCGCCCACATTGTTACTAGTGCTGCTGGGACCTCTGATCTAGTCGCTTCGGCAACCTTTGAACAGCTAGCAGACTTGTACCCC